CTGCAAAGCTTCAAAATTAACATCGTCTGAAGAACAGAGGCTCAAGAACATGCCTGTAGAAAAAGAAACACTGGTGCCGCCTGCTAGAGGAGCAGAAGGAAAGGTGTTTTTTCTGTCAGAGATATAAAATATATACAAAAATCATGAAATGTGTTTCCTCATCTGCAAAGAGGAGGATGACTTACTAGATTTACCAATCTAGAAAAGGCAGTATCATCAACACTTGGAATCACTTAATTTAAATACCTCTCTCTGAAAAGTCTTCCAAATACAGTGCTGCAGGTGGCACAGCCCAGCACAGACACGGTAGCAGGGACGTGGGGCGCAGCTTTTGCTGCTGTCTGCCCTCGCGGCTCAAGGGCCGGCCTCCAGACAGATGAGTGGGCGCATGCATGGCGGAGGGAAGGGAAAGCCAAGGTGCTCCACCAACTTTTTCACTTGACATTCTGAAACGAGATGCATATCCAAGTGAAAATAAGCCATTCTTCCTAAAGAAATCGTCTCCTCCTTTTCTCATGATCTTTGATGTCCACTGACATCAAGTGTCATTGTTATCAAGTGTAACCATTAACAAATATCACATTGAAGCAAATGGGGCCACTTTTACCTCAGTACTTTAATTTGAAAGACATTCTAAAACTAGTTAGACCTAGATCCTGGCTGCACTATAAAGGATGTGCCAGCACAACACAGCAGTGGAACTCTTACTTCAAAAACTAAAGCCTTATTTTACTTACATGTATAAAAACATAACAAAAGTTAGCTCTTACTAATTTGCTGTGCCTTACAGGAAATAAGGACATTGACCTCGATGGATATAGACAGGTATATATCTCACCCTATACTCATGAACAGATTCTGGGAGATAAGTAGCTAAACTGTGAAGGTACTTGAATTGTGACCCTATTTTTGATGAAATTAACCATTTGGGGTCCCTCAAGATGATGTCTATAACAGAAGTGATTTGAAAACCGGAACGAATGATGAAACGAGAGCAATAGCAGGCCCAGAGAAGCAGCCTATTTGAGATGCAGGGCTATTCTGCTTTCCTAAGTTCCCCACACAGTAAGAAACCTTGAGTAGAATTCAACAAGTAGTTCGTTGCTATGCAACTTTGCTATTTTGCTGTTATAGAGTTATGACTAAAAAAAATCTTAACCAAAAGACTGAGGAGCACAGCCCGCAGTTCCTGGCACCGTGTCATAACCATCTGGGCAAAATGACTCCAGCACTGTGCGCCACCCGCACTTATCAGCAGCCCCTCGCTATGCCTTGCATAGACATTAAAGTGAAGTCACCCAAAAGACAAACCATGCGGGGCGGAGGCGGCAGAGCCTGGAGGGAGGGAAGGAGGGAGGGAGGAGGGGTTTGGCAGGGTCCTGGTGCGGGCATAAAAGGCAGCGTGGTGCGGGCGCAGCACAGCCAGGACAGCAGGATGGGGGAGCCCTACAGCAAGGCGGAGACCCTCGCCCTGCGGAAGAAGCATATCGGGTAGGGACGGACCCTGGACGGGGACGGGCTGGGCGGTGGGGCCAGGCAGGGGCTGTGCGACTGCCAAGGTGCCCCATGGGGCCACACAGCTTCGCCACTGCCCAGGGGGGACCCAAATGCAAAGTGCACACTTTTGTGTGTGTGTGTGTGTGTATAGAGATATATATATATATACACACACATTAAAAACATCATCTTTGCACAGACCAGCAAATTTCTGAAGGAGCATATGCCCCCCATGGAGATGACAGAACCCAGTAGGACCTGCCTGGCACAAACTGGAAATTTTGGCTAAGGATATAAGTGCAAATAACTGTTTTTTCGATAGAGGTTCAAATCAGAATTGCATTTGACAAGTAAGTCATTAAGCTTCAAAGCAGAAACAGCCCGAGTGCATGCCCATAGCACTTGCACCGCTGAGGCACTGGCTGTGAGCAGCCGCTAGCCTGCTGCCCTGTGTCAGGGACCGCGACGGGACCTCACTCACCTTGGAAGCTGGGACGGGTCCGACATGTCTTGGTGGGGCTCTGGGGAATTAAGTGCTCCATAGCCAATCCCTGAAGTGCTAAACCACCACAGTATCTTCCGTTTCTGTTGCAAACCAGCTTAGAGTGTCTGTAGCAAACTTGAGAACATGCCAGGTAAGCAGCAAGTCCTCATGGTTAGCGACTGGGGAGGGGGGGAGAGAAAATAACAGGTTAGCTCTTTAGTTTGCCATTCTGATAACTAAATCTTTGAGCCACTACTAATTCCTGGGGAGGAAAATGCAGCCATTAAAACACAGCACATAAAAAGCTACTTCACTTTTTTAGTAGAGGTGATAGCAGATCAAAGACAAAAAACAGAATATGGTATCTGGACATAGAGCTTTTAAATGCTACTGACCAGTTAGTTTGTGAGAAAACTGAATGCTCTTGAAAAACATACCTCTGCGTTATATGAAGCTCAGGAGATTATTTGAACAAGGATAACTGGGAGAAAGACAGGAAGGTTCCCCACAACTCTGATCTGAACAACGGTCCCGGCTATGCGCATATCTGATCCCTCCTTATTGCAACATTACTTCCTCCAGAAGGGACAATTTTAATTCCTACTTCAGTAGGCGTTGCCAAGTGGAAAATAAGTCCAGAATGTTAAAGTGAATGCTGGTTGTTTGATAGCTATATCCTAAATAGGTAGACTATATATAGAAAATTAACTAAAGAGTCATAAAAATCAATGGCTTCATAAAGCACACATATTACGTTATCTTTTGGGGCCAGCTGTAAGTTAGGCGGATCTTGCCTGGCAAGGATGGCAGAATTGGGCTGCACTGGATGAACAACAAGGAGCTCTCACAGAAAGGACTGACACATACTAGAATGGAAAACTGTAGTCAAGCAATGACCCTTGAGGATGATGTGCGCCGCTTTCAAAGCGCGGCACCAGAGTTGTCAAAGATAGCAGAGAAGATCTGTGCAATAGGGCTAGAAACAGAGAACATAAATTACTTCACTCTCTATGAGTTACATTTAGGCTCAATAGTTCACACTCTCAATATACCATACAACACAGCTGCATTACTAGCACTGTTTAAGTTACTTGGAAACAACTGTGTTTATCTGAAGCCGTATAAACATTACAAAAAGTTCAGAACT